ACTTCCTATGGCGTCACCTCTCACATATTTACGTCTAATTTCGTTATGAAATTAGATTATTTCAGTGTAAAAATAGGTTTGATCATGTTCTATGTGTAGCACCAACATTATAGTAAGTAAATATACCATATTTCTTCATTACTTACGTAATGCTAGGAGGATTTGGGTACTTTTGGGCCGATTTGGGTCGATTTGGGTAATTCTATGGACCGACAGCGAAGGAAATGTGTGAAACATTAAATGAAAAGTTCCAAAGTGTGTTTGTACAAAATTAAATCTTCAGAGAACCAGACACAATAAGAATTCCAGAGAACAACATAGAGCGGATAGAGGTGTCTAGAGATGAAGTGGAAAATATGCTAAAGGAGCTCGGGAGGAACAAAGCAGCTGGCCCAGATGGCGTTTCACCATGGGTTCTGAGAGAATGTGCATCTGAGCTCAGCATTCCACTTCACCTGATCTTTCAGGCATCCCTGTGTACAGGAATTGTAGCAGACGTGTGGAAACAGGCTAACATAGTTCCAATCTACAAAAGTGGCAGCAGGGAAGACCCCCTCAATTATAGACCTGTATCATTGACAAGTGTAATAGTGAAAGTATTGGAAAAGCTAATCAAAACTAAATGGGTAGAACACCTGGAGAGAAATGATATAATATCAGACAGACAGTATGGTTTTAGATCTGGAAGATCCTGTGTATCGAATTTACTCAGTTTCTATGATCGAGCCACAGAGATATTACAGGAAAGAGATGGTTGGGTTGACTGCATCTATCTGGACCTAAAAAAGGCTTTCGACAGAGTTCCACATAAGAGGTTGTTCTGGAAACTGGAAAATATTGGAGGGGTGACAGGTAAGCTTCTATCATGGATGAAAAATTTCCTGACTGATAGAAAAATGAGGGCAGTAATCAGAGGCAATGTATCAGAATGGAGAAATGTCACAAGTGGAGTACCACAGGGTTCAGTTCTTGCACCAGTGATGTTTATTGTGTACATAAATGATCTACCAGTTGGTATACAGAATTATATGAACATGTTTGCTGATGATGCTAAGATAATAGGAAGGATAAGAAATTTAGATGATTGTCATGCCCTTCAAGAAGACCTGGACAAAATAAGTATATGGAGCACCACCTGGCAAATGGAATTTAATGTTAATAAATGTCATGTTATGGAACGTGGAATAGGAGAACATAGACCCCATACAACCTATATATTATGTGAGAAATCTTTAAAGAATTCTGATAAAGAAAGAGATCTAGGGGTGGTACTAGATAGAAAACTATCACCTGAGGACCACATAAAGAATATTGTGCGAGGAGCCTATGCGATGCTTTCTAACTTCAGAATTGCATTTAAATACATGGATGGCGATATACTAAAGAAATTGTTCATGACTTTTGTTAGGCCAAAGCTAGAATATGCAGCTGTTGTGTGGTGCCCATATCTTAAGAAGCACATCAACAAACTGGAAAAGGTGCAAAGACATGCTACGAAGTGACTCCTAGAACTGAAGGGCAAGAGCTACGAGGAGAGGTTGGAAGCATTAAACATGCCAAAACTAGAAGACAGAAGAAAAAGAGGCGATATGATCACTACATACAAAATAGTAAAAGGAATTGATAAAATCGACAGGGAAGATTTCCTGAGACCTGGAACTTCAAGAACAAGAGGTCATAGATTTAAACTAGCTAAACACAGATGCCGAAGAAATATAAGAAAATTCACCTTCGCAAACAGAGTGGTAGACGGTTGGAACAAGTTAAGTGAGAAGGTGGTGGAGACCAAGACCGTCAGTAGTTTCAAAGCGTTATATGACAAAGAGTGCTGGGAAGACAGGACACCACGAGCGTAGCTCTCATCCTGTAACTACACTTAGGTAATTACTAGTCACTCACCCCAGCTATATATGTATTGTACCCTTTAAGGGTTAAATTTAGAGCTTCCTTTTATAATGGTAAAAATATCACTAAGATAGCAAATAGGTCATTAACACAATGCAGAAAAAAACTCCAACTGGAAGGCTGTGATTTCATGTAATATAAAGCATAGATTAATGCTCGATATGCTGCTTTGTGGACCTACTTTCCATTCCTGTAACAAGGATGACATTCCATTCCTGTAACAAGGATGATAAAGGACCAATTTGTAGTTTTAAAAGAAATCATGAAACAGTTTTTGGAGAAGAGTGGCAAGTTTCCTCTTAGGGTAAAGGTTGCAAGCCAAAATATTTCCATACCACTGTATTGTATTGTGTTTTGTACAGTCCAAGAGTGCTGCCACAACTTCCCAACAGTAAAGGCACATTTAATATACAATTCAATGTCAACCAAGATCTCTATAGTGTAAAGATATTTATGGAAGCCAAATGGTTTTTGAATATTATGTTCCATGCACCGCATATGAATTGTGTTCATCAGACTTTCTGAAAGTTGACTTCCATGTCTACAGCAATAAGTCTAAAATCACCTGCTTCAGTGCTCCTGTTCCAAGATTGTTAACCGTTTCACTGCACACTATACAACCCTGGCCCCACCCTCAGTCAAACTGCACCCTAAAAATTTACTTCATTTTTTTCTTACGTTTTGCATGACCATGACGAATCCCACGCCGATACTAATGTCTTTGTTGTAATAGTCCTGCACATCCCTACTCTTCCATTTATTGCAAAATTCACTACTATTTAATACTGAATTTAATACTTTAATTGTAATCTATATAAATAAAAATGGAAATGTTCGTTTGTTCAAAATCGCTAATCTCCGAAAGTTCTTTACCGATTGCTTTGCAATTTTCACACAACGTTCCATTTGCATCCAGCCAGGTTTTTATATACATACTATATAGATGTAACGTTTGTGATGGTAAAAAAAAACATGCCTTTTCTGAAAAACTGCTTTTCATGCGAGGGAAATATTTGAAACCTCTTTACTGATTGCTTTGAAATTTTGACAACGTTTCATTCGAATAGGCGCGTCTTTTTATATATATACTATATACATGCCTCACTTGTGACAGGAAAAAAACATGCTTTTTTGAAAAACAGCGTCATCTGTTGGACATAAGAGCAACACACGCTGTAATCTCCAAAAGTTCTTCACCGATCGATTTGAAATTTTGACACACATTCGAATAGGCGCATCTTTTTATATACCTACTATATAAATGCCACACCTGTGACAGATAAAAATGTGTTTTTTAAAAACAGCGCCGTCTGTTGCACATACTGTAATAGCAACATGCACGCTATACTAAAGATATCAACTTCCATTTCAATGTTTCCTATTGCATTGATAAATTTTATTTTCATAGATTTCGATTTATTTTATTTTTTATCAAATTATTTTGTGTAACATTGTGTTGGAATTGAGCTGTGTTTACCATACCGTTCATTTCCTAAGTATAAGTTTAGCTGCAACACTTCTAACAGGTAAAACTATGCTTTTCTTGAAAAACAGCGCCCTCTGTTGCATGCAAGTGCCTCACACATGCTATTCTAAATATGTTGCAATTCCATTCCAATGTTTGATTGCAATGATAAATAGAATGTTCATAGATTCCGATTTATTTTTTGGTGTGAATTGTGTTGGAATCGAGCTGTGTTGTTTACCATACCGTTTATTTCGTTATAGTTTATTTTATTTTTTCATTTTAATTTCCTTTTTTTTTAACCGTTTTCTTATATTTCAGTGATGGGAACATCAGATCACTATGTTCTCAATTTTCTGATGGGAACATCAGACCATTTGGGAAGGCATCAAACAAGGGAGTGGGGAATGGTGGGGATGACGAGGGGACGAAAGTGCGAGATGGTGGGGAGGACGAGGGGGGATGGGGTAATGGTGGGGAAGGACGAGAGGATGGAAGAGTTCGAGATGGTGGGGACGAGGGGATGGGGGAAGGGAGAATGGCGAGGTGGACAAAGGGACAGGGGAGTAGGGCATGGTGGGAAGGAAGAGGAGAGGGTGGAGTGGGGCATGGTGGGGAGGATGAGGGGATAGTGGAGATGGTTGGGAGGCCAAGGAGACGGGTGAGGAGGGAATGGTGGGGAGGACTGGGGGACAGGGAAGGTTGCTGTAGCTCCTGTACGTTGCCGAGCCACAGCAACACGTGGCCGAGTACTGCTAGTATTTTATAAATTATAATTTCACTGGATTGAGAGCGAGGAAGGAAATGGCAAGACGGAAAATTTATTTTTAAATATTTGAAATAGGGCTATAAGGTACAGCAAGTATACTGTTGGTTACAGATTAAATGGTAAACTGCACAGGCCCTCCACACAGTGGAGGAAATGGCCACATTTCCAGGAAGGAGGTGCACATCTTCCTCAGATATCACTAGTACTGAAGCAGGAGACTGGTAGTGTAACAGGCTGGGATACATACTAGTATGGATGCTCGTTTCCCCTCACTTCAACTTTTAAACTATTATTTTGTGCCTAAAATGAAGGGCAAGGGGAAATATCAGAAGAAAGCGCCAAGCCATTACGACTACATAGCACTTAAAAAGGGTCAGGACAAGGATGTGGGATAAGATTGGGGGGGGGGGAAAGGAATGGTGCCCAACCACTGACGGTCGGGGATTGACGCCGACCTGCATGAAGCAAGGCCGTCTCTACCATCCAGCCTGACGGTCGGGGATTGACGCCGACCTGCATGAAGCAAGGCCGTCTCTACCATCCAGCCCATGTGGACTTTACTAAAAGGAAAATATACTAAAGTGTTTGTACGAAAAAAAATAATCTGGTATTTAAAGCATTCTATTATATGCAAATATTATTATAACTTACATATTCATAATAATGTGTATGGTCGTGAAGATCGGGCAAAGGTAACAAAATGATACACAAAGTGATCAACAAAGTGTGTGTTGATACACCACGTGACACTACGGAGTTGGTGGCACTCAACAACCCTCAGGGAAGACAATGTTACAATGCCAGGTCAACAGTAATAGAATTATGGTTAAGCATGTGTACAGGTTGGAAAGTAATCCTCACTAATTTAAAAAAATTTATTACTTTGATAAATTATTGGACAATCTACACAAGGACGTCAGGACTGTATATAAATCACAAAATACACCAACTTTCATTTCTCAAAAATGATCTGGAAAAGAAGTTTCGAAAATCAACGTTTTTATCTCCAGTATTATTGCCTTAAGACTTAATCACTCCAAATATCAAAAGTGTAAGGAAATCAAACGTGCTTCTGTCATGGCGGAGTTCTCCAGTCACGGAACAATGTCTGGCCAAAGCACCAAGACTATTTTAGTCAACACACTTTAGTGCAATATCAAATATAAAGTTAAATAAGATACAATCAGCAGCACACTCAGGTTTGGTTAACAAAATAATTGCTATGAAATTACACTTTCTAATAATTCTACTTTGATATACAGTAAAGGGAAATTTTTCTTTCACATTACAACATTCTTAAAAAGAAAATTTAATATTTAAGCAATTATTTAACCCAATCCTTAACCATCTCACTGAGAATTTTTCAATTTCAAATTAAATAATAAAAAAAGAGCTTTGTTTACATTTGGTCAATTACAGTGGAATCTTTACTTATGAATGCCCCAACTTACAAATTTTTTGAGTTACAACCCCAATTTCTTCAGAAAATTCAACTCGACTTACAACCTTTGCCCCGACTTGCAACTTTGTTGATACACGTATGGGTCGACGGAGCGTGTGGTTCCAGTTGGCACGGGCGACCCCGATTCAGTTTACCAGACCACCCGCTTAGTGACGATCGCTCTTTAATTCTTTGTAAAGAATTATTGTTTTTGTGCTTTTTTTGTTTTTGAACATAAAAGTAATTATTATATACCACACCATGTGTCCCAAGTAAGGCTGTAGTAAGGGTCAACCTAAGAAAACGCACGTGAGGATGACCATAGAGGAAAAACAAGTCTATGGAAAGGTGTTAAGCGAGGAAAACCAAGCAGTGAGCCACAACCAGGTCCTAGTGGTATGCAGGCAAAACGTAGGAGAGTGCATACCCCCAGAAATCATCACTGCCTGATGTTATAATGGAAGGGGACTCCCCTTCCAAACTAACACCTCACCACCACCCCCCCCCCCATCCTCACCGTCTTCCATACACCAACAAGAGTCATCAATAAAAGGTAAGTTAGAACTTTTACATATTATAGTACAAAATATCTGTATTATATATGAAATTATTTTGAAGGTAATATTTTTGGGAGCGTGGAACAGATCAATACAATTTAAATTATTTCTTATGGGAAAATTAGGTTCGAGTTACGAATTTTCAAATTACAACCCATCTCTGGGAAGGGATTACATTCGTAAATGGAGGTACCACTGTAAGTGTTAAAATATGCTTCATTTTGTGTCAAACTGTTCACATACAGTACAGGAAAATGTTTATCACATTACAGAATATTAATGCTTACAATTTGCAAGTATTTTGTGCTTATCAGGCCATTAAACATAGAAAATGCAACTTCAGATTTATATAATCATTTAAGTTTACATCACAATATTGATCACATTGACAGTCGGGCATCTGATGGAGTGAAGCTTCCCATGACTTGGGGGCAAAGTCATCAATATTTCAAGTCAAATGAGCATCCTTATGTAACCCAGGTCATGTTAAAAGGTTATTTCTCTAGTAAGTACTGTGAGTTTGGGCTTAGAATGCAATAATAAATAATTAATAACCTGACCCACACACGAAAAAGAAAAGTGGCGACGTTTCCATCCATCCTGGACTCTCCAAGTTGCCGACTCAAAACACGGGCACTTAACTTGTGTGGGGATCGGGCTATTAACTTTTCAGTCACATTATAGTGACATTCTCTGCAATAACAAAACACCAGACAATCAACAAGTGTTCATAATCCATTCAACAACTATCAAGGAAGCACATCAACTAATATGGCATCATATACATATATTTACACAATCTACTCTCACCTCAGGATAATGGTAATCAAATACAAGTTTGGTCAAAGAAAGTGGAACGAGCCGAACACTATATACACAAAACTCCCGGCCAATATATAAATGGGTAAGAAATTTTCCCGTCCCAAACTGCCATCAATGTTATACACTGGACGAGCACCCAGGCCCAAGGTCGACCCAAACCCAAATGTGTATCGACCAATCATCACATGCTCTGTGGACTAGTCACAACAGTGTGTAACACTTTAACAATGTCATCACCCACTACGTCTTGGATGCCTCCATCTGCTTCATGATCTGCTCCTTGATCAGCCTGGTTGCCTCGCTAGCCTTCGGAATCAGGAATCTGAAAATTTGGAAATTCTTCTGTATTCTAAGTAGGGCACTGAACAGTCTGAAAACCTGCTAAACAAAACTAAGATTGATTCAATACAAAAACATCTATAATTATTATAGTTTTTTAATAACAAGCTGTTCAGTATTGCCTCCCATGTCTTTGGTTATACACCAGGTTTATTGCAAGCTTCAAAATGCCACATGGCAAACATTATTGGCTAGAGTTGTTCGTAATACCAGAGTGAATTTGGGGAGTTATTCTAGCTTTTATTCTATCAAAACAAAATTTTGAGTTGCGAGGGGGGGGGGGAAAAAAAAAAAAAAAAGTTACATGCCGCACCTGTCCATATCTGATATCGTAACTTCTCCATCGGGTGACGTTGTGCCGTATTTAAAGGTGATCAGGTCAGGATGCTTCTTCTTTGAGGTAATCTTTACTATGGAGGCTTCTGGGGAGAGCCCCTTCGGCTCCCCGGAGCTTATCTGGGCTGATATGCTAATGTCAGACTTTGGCATCAGTCATGTGTATGGAGTTCTATGGGCCTACCGGGGACCACGAGCCAGAACCTGGCCCCCTCAGAGAGGCAAGGGGAGCAATGGCCTATAGAAACCCCCGTGTGGTTGGAAGCATTCTATGTCTGCCATCGACTGGGTCAGGCACCCAGAAAGGTAAGCGTCCCAAAACAAACCCCTATTCTGGTGAAAATTGCTACCACAAGCCGAACAGGTGGATAGAACTTCCCTAAAAGAAACTAGCAAATGATTATGACGTCACACGTCACCGTGCCGCTGTCTCTGCAGCTTTCCCCTCCCCCGGGAGGGGGAATGGGGAGCCCCAGACCTACAGTGCCGGCTATCCACCATCAGTTCTTCAGCTGATGCTAGTGGCTGAGGTCATGTGCTCCGGCTCCAGTGGTTGTTTCAGCAGCGTACCTAGAGTGTGGCGACTCTTCTAGGTTGTGCATGAGCCGGGAGTGATTCTCCAGTACTCGGGCTGCATGTGCCTAGGGTTTCCTTCCCTAGGTGCCCTGTAAGTATTGCCCTTGGGGCTTGGGGCCATCTTCCACAAGTTCCTTGGGTTCGGCCACTGCTAGGCCGTTTACTGCTTTATTTTCGGCAGCCCTTTGTGTGCTCGGGTGTTCTGTCTCCCATGTTCTCCTTAGGGTGAGGGGCAGTTTTGCACTGGTGGGGCGCAGGGTGCTGCGCAGCTTGTTTTCACCAATCATGGCGGCCGGCTCTTTCCACCTGGATACGCTGTCCTCTTGCGAGATTTTCTTTTTCTTTGTTTATCTACCTGGTGGGGGGGGGGGGGTCTGCCTTCGTTCTTGCCCTGTGTCCCTTGTGTTCCGAGTATTATTCCTTCTTCAGGTGGTTCCCCCTGCTAGGACCCCGTGAGTGTACACGTCCCGGGGGTTCAGTTCTTAGACGGTTGTTTGGTAGCTTTGGGTGCCGGTTAGCAGTACCCTGCCTGGGATTACCCAAGCACGAGTCCTATTATAGTAAACGCTCAGGACCCTGGGAAACCCCTGGGGGTGCACGGGTTCAATGGACGTGATCCCGGAGTCCCATCCCCCCCCCCTCGCTTGCAGCGAGTTTGAGGATTGCTCTCACCCCTTGTCTCAGGGTGACACACACTGTCTTTGTCTCCGTCTGCTGCCTGTGGGGTCGGTGACACCTTCGGCTCGGAGTCCTGCGAGTTTTGTTGCTTGTTGTGACTGTTACCCAGTCTTATGCTGACTATGCGGGTGCAGGCAGCACGGGCATTGCACGTTGAGCTTCAATGGTGGCAACACTCTCGGTTGTTTGCTCCCCGAGGCTGCCCCGGTTTGGTTGGTGTTGGGGCTTGGGGGTGTTGGTTGCTTCGGTTCCTTCCATGCCCCCTTGTCTTTTCCCTGTTGTGATCTATTCTGGTCCCCCCCTCCCTTTCTACCTGCATCCGGATCCTTACTGTGTGGGTTCAGGGTCGGGGCGGGGTTCGTTGGTTTTGAGACTCTGGCAATCTCGGGGAATTCCCCTTCCAGGGTAGCGACGGGGGCATTCGAGCCTGTTCCTCCAGCCATATTGTAAAAGTACCAGTGGTCTCCCTTAGTATTTTCGCGGCTGCCCCGGTTTTTTCTTGCAAGGCAGAGGCTTTGGGGGGACGGCTTGGCCCTGGGGCCTGCCGTCTGGGTTCCCGGGGCTGAGGAGGGGCTGAGGAGGGGCTGACTTAGGGGGCCTAGGGCCCCGTTGGACCTTGCGGGGGTTTTTCTACCCTCTAGGCGGGGCTTGCAGTTACGTGGAGTGGGGTTTTTTCCTCACCCCCTCACTGTAAGAGTTTTTAGGTGTTGGCCCCTCCCCGGGCTCGGTTCCTCGTCCCTTGCGTCAGTTGGTTCAGTCCTGTAGCGGGGTGCTCTTCTCCGTTATTCCCCACTTTTTTCTTGGGACGGGATATCTCCGTCATGTTCCCCTCTTCTTGGGGTTCTACACTACTTTTGGTCTCGGGTGCGACTGTGCGCTTTCGTGACCTCTGCATGCTTCTGTGTTCTCGAGGGTTAGGGAAGGTTTTCGCTAATTCCTGTATTATTGGAATGGCTGTTGTCTTTCAGTGTGGCTTCCCTCTGGTCCTTTCTAGGGCTTGTTGGTCCTTTTCTGTGCTTATTCTTGGTTTTTGGACCCGTCTCGTTCTTTTGTGCCGTCTTCTCTCCGTGCTCTGTCTCGGCACTGCTCATTTTCTTTGCATACTTCTAGTCTGTGATGCCAGATTGGGCTACTTGTAGCCCAATTGGGTTCCCGATTGAGTTCGTCTTCAATTCTTAAGCTGGCTATGTTGTCACTGCTTGCTCCTCTTTTGGCTCCTGTCCCATGGGTTGGGCTGTTTCTTCTCTTTAGCGGTTCACTCGGGTAGCGTACTGTTTGGTTACTTTTCTTGTAAAGTAGTCCTAATTGGCGCATTCCCGCAGAGCGGATTGTGCGGTTCGGACAGTGTGTCATGCGCATGCGCCATGGGAGTTTGTTTTGGTCTGGGTGGTGTAATTACCTAAGTGTAATTACCTAAGTGTAATTACCTAAGTGTAGTTACAGGATGAGAGCTACGCTCGTGGTGTCCCGTCTTCCCAGCACTCTTTGTCATAACGCTTTGAAACTACTGACGGTCTTGGCCTCCACCACCTTCTCACTTAACTTGTTCCAACCGTCTACCACTATTTGCGAAGGTGAATTTTCTTATATTTCTTCGGCATCTGTGTTTAGCTAGTTTAAATCTATGACCTCTTGTTCTTGAAGTTCCAGGTCTCAGGAAGTCTTCCCTGTCGATTTTATCAATTCCTGTTACTATTTTGTACGTAGTGATCATATCACCTCTTTTTCTTCTGTCTTCTAGTTTTGGCATATTTAATGCTTCTAACCTCTCCTCGTAGCTCTTGCCCTTCAGTCTTGCCCTTCAGACGCCACTTAGTAGCATGTCTTTGCACCTTTTCCAGTTTGTTGATGTGCTTAAGATATGGGCACCACACAACAGCTGCATATTCTAGCTTTGGCCTAACAAAAGTCATGAACAATTTCTTTAGTATATCGCCATCCATGTATTTAAATGCAATTCTGAAGTTAGAAAGCATTGCATAGGCTCCTTGCACAATATTCTTTATGTGGTCCTCAGGTGATAGTTTTCTATCTAGAACCACTCCTAGATCTCTTTCTTTATCAGAATTCTTTAAAGATTTCTCACATAATATATAGGTTGTGTGGGGTCTATGTTCTCCTATTCCACATTCCATAACATGACATTTATTAACATTAAATTCCATTTGCCAAGTGGTGCTCCATATACTTATTTTGTCCAGGTCTTCTTGAAGGGCATGACAATCATCTAAATTTCTTATCCTTCCTATTATCTTAGCATCATCAGCAAACATGTTCATATAATTCTGTATACCAACTGGTAGATCATTTATGTACACAATAAACATCACTGGTGCAAGAACTGAACCCTGTGGTACTCCACTTGTGACATTTCTCCATTCCGATACATTGCCTATGATTACTGCCCTCATTTTTCTATCAGTCAGAAAATTTTTCATCCATGATAGAAGCTTACCTGTCACCCCTCCCATATTTTCCAGTTTCCAGAACATCCTCTTATGTGGAACTCTGTCGAAAGCCTTTTTTAGGTCCAGATAGATGCAGTCAACCCAACCATCTCTTTCCTGTAATATCTCTGTGGCTCGATCATAGAAACTGAGTAAATTCGATACACAGGATCTTCCAGATCGAAAACCATACTGTCTGTCTGATATTATATCATTTCTCTCCAGGTGTTCTACCCATTTAGTTTTGATTAGTTTTTCCAATACTTTCACTATTACACTTGTCAATGATACAGGTCTATAATTAAGGGGGTCTTCCCTGCTGCCACTTTTGTAGATTGGAACTATGTTAGCCTGTTTCCACACGTCTGCTACGATTCCTGTACACAGGGATGCCTGAAAGATCAGGTGAAGTGGAATGCTGAGCTCAGATGCACATTCTCTCAGAACCCATGGTGAAACGCCATCTGGGCCAGCTGCTTTGTTCTTACCGAGCTCCTTGAGCATTTTTTTCACTTCGTCTCTAGACACCTCTATGTGCTCTATGTTGTTCTCTGGAATTCTTATTGTATCTGGTTCCCTAAAGATTTCATTTTGTACAAACACACTTTGGAACTTTTCGTTTAGTGTTTCACACATTTCCTTTTCATCTTCCGTGAATCTATTTCCCATTTTCAACCTCTGAATATTATTCTTTACCTGCAATTTGTTGTTTATGAATTTATAGAATAGACCTGGTTCTGTTTTACATTTGTCTGCAATCCCTTTTTCAAAATTTCTTTCTGCCTCTCTCCTCACTGCCGTGTAGTTGTTTCTCGCATCTTTGTATCGCTGGTATGTTTGGGGGTTCGGCCTCTTCCTGTATTGATTCCATTTTTGTGTCTTTTGGTCTCTAGCCCTCTCGCAATTTCTATTGAACCAATCCTGTTTCCTAGTTCTGCATCTCTGTTTTGGTATAAATTTTTTTGTGCCTTTATCATATATTTCACAAAACTTGACATCATGACATGTTTGTGCCTATGTTCGACATGCGAGTTTCTGCGGTCTGGCGTCTCTTTCGGCCAAGCGCTGGATATGAATATATTTATATAAATATATTTATATGCATATATTTATATGCATATATTTATATACAAATATATATATTATATATTTTTGGATACGGATACAAGACCGTCAGCACACAGGTGACTGTCCCTATTTCGACTCGTCTGGTCCCACTCATTTGCATGTCCCACCCATGCTCGAATCAAATCGGGAAACCCACCTCATCCATGTTACGAGGTACGATGGTTGAGGTACAGGTTATGTACTCACCTGGTTGTGCTTGTGGGGATATAACTCTGGCTCTTTGGTCCCGCCTCTCTGCAGTCGGTTGCCTGTTGTGCAGGTTCCTGGGCCTGCTGGGCTCTATCGTATCTACTTTTGACCCTGTCTGGAATTAGCCTCCACCATTTCTCTGCCTTCGCCGAGAGAAGTTACCACATGTTCCACATTGTGTGTGGTGCATGTTGCTGGTCCATATGTGCATTGGTAACTTGTACTACGGTGACATGTACTTGTTACCGTGTCAGGATGTTGTGAGGTGACATTTTGCTGCAGTTTTGTGCCTGGGGTTGCTTGTTGGGGATTGCTTGTGACGTTTTTCGTGGTTTTCTCTGGGGTTCCTCTTTCCTTTCCCATCTTAAGAGTGCCTGGCCTGGCTTGGCCCTTCCATGTACATTGGTTTCTCTGTCCTCGCCTGGTTGTCTGCCCCTGGTTGTGCTTCCTGGGGGTTGAGCTTTGGCTCTTTCGTCCTGCCTCTCCCCTGTCGCTTCCTTGACATCTCCTGGGCTCTGTCATGTCTGCACTTGTAGCTGTGTGTGGGGGTCGGCTTCCACCACTTCCCTTGTGCATTCCCTTTGTTTACTCCTCTGCTGCTGGAATGTTTCCTTCCTGCATTTTTGGCTTCTTTGGGCGCTCCTTCCGCCTGTGTCACATGGTGCGTGCGTGCTTGTGTGTGTTTGTTTTCGTTGCTCGTACCCCTTGGTTTGGGTACTGGTCTGGTGGTAATCCTTTGCACCTTCAGTTTGGTTTGTTGGGACAGGGCCTGCGACTCTGTGGGTTGATGTCCCTTTCATTCCCATTTTGCTGCATGCCTTCTTTGTTCCTCGTCTTCCTGCTTCACTCGTCCCAGGCCGCTGGTGCTGGGGGACAAGTCTTCTGGTCTTTTTCTCATTTTCTCCTACACACTGTGGTGTGTTTTGTTTGTGCCTTTTGGCCTTCCTGTTGCAGAGTTTTGGTTCCTGTTTTTCTGGCTTGCCCTGCCTGTTGGCATTTTCAGGGTCTCCCGATGTCCCTTCTCTGGAGTCTCACGTCGGACCCGTAGTTTCTGATCTCCTGGCGAGCCTGGACGAGTTTTCGACCACCGAGCTTCCTCGGTGATCGCACCCGAGATCTTCCTGCGGCTCCGCCTCTTCCTAGGCTCGGATGAACCTTGACGGGGCTGGTTAGGTTCTACCTCGAGTCTCTGGCCTTCGGTTGGTAGTCAGGTGGTTTCATTGTTGGTGTCCCACCTGCATGCTTCTTCTTGGCGGAAGTATGGGGTACTTTGGCAGTCCTTCCTTTTCCTTCTGTCTCTTCTTAGGTGACTGTGTGTGTTGGTGTCGGCTTTGCTTTTCTGGTGGGGGTTCGGGGCTGTCATCTTGCTGCATACTGTGCCTCATATCGTGCAGTGCTGGCGGAGCCGCTTCGGCTTGCTTTCAGTCCATGTTACATCTACGCCGTTCATAAGCTGTCTCATGCGTTGTTTCACCTCCGGCCTGTTCATGCGCCGCTTAAGCCATCCTGGTCTCTAGACAGCATGCTCTGTGACCACTTTGGTTCGGGTTTGTTTCTCGAAGGCTCTTTTCCTGTTGGCATTTGCCTCTAGGGGTCGGGTCGCTGAGCTTCTTGCTCTCCTCCGGCGCAGGGGTTTCTGCTCCTTCGGTTGTGGTGATTGGGTTGTTCGATTGCAGCCGTCTCCCTCTTTTCTGGCACGGGATGAGGCTGCTGCTTTCTGGAGGGGTCCTTGGTTTGTTGGTGCTTGGTTGGCCAGACCGAGGATGCATCGTGTTTTGTGTTTGGTTGCGGCCCTCCGCTGTTATTTGGGCGTCACGGTTCTGTGTCCGGGGCGCACTTTGGGTTGATCCAGTTCCATTCTTCCCTGTTCGCAGGTGAAGGTCTCCCGAGTTGTCCACCTTGTTATTGCGAATAGCCAGCCTGTGTTCTTTCCCCGTGCCCATGGCATTCATGGATTTGCTGCTTTTGCTGCTGTCTTGGAGGCATATCCTAGCCGACATTCGGGCACGGGGCTTTTGGCATTCGTACAGGGGCCTGGCTGCTTATGTCTCATGTCGTTCCCAGGCCCATTCGGGCCTGTGTCGCCTTGGGTTGGTGGTTGCAGCCAGTCGTCTCTGCTTTCAGTTGGGGAGTGTGCGGCGACCGCCTCTTGGGTTTGTCCCACCCTTTTTCCTCTGTGGTGTCATTTTAGTGGGCCAGCCAGAGGCTTAGGGCCCACTCAGGAATATCCCTGGGGGGGGTGGAGAGGGGGGGGGGGGGGGGGGGGGGGGGGAGGGGGGGGAGGGGGGCGGGGGGGAGAGAGGGGGGAGGGGGGGAGAGGGGGGGATGGGGGGGAGAGGGGGGGGATGGGGGGAGAGGGGGGGAAAAAAAGGGGGGGGAAAGGGGGGGGATGGGGGGGAGAGGGGGGGATGGGGGGGGGAAAGAAAAAAAAAAAAAAAAGTTCCGGGGAGCCGAAGGGGCTCCCCCCAGGAAACCAGCGTTGAATGTAATGAAATGCCATTTTCTGGGCGAGACCCGGAGGCTCCCCGGCATCCCTCCCTCCAGTTGGCGTTTTTTGATATCCAGCCTCATAACTGTTGGTGGATAGCCGGCGGGTAGGTCTGGGGCTCTTCCTTCCCCCTACCGGGGAGGGGGGAGCTGCGAATACGGGGGAGCGGCGACGTGTAACGTCATAATCATTTGCCTGACCCGGTCAATGGCAGACATAGAATACTTCCAACCACACAGGGGTTTCTATAGGCCATTGCTCCCCTTGCCTATCTGAGGGGGATCGGTTCTGGCTCGTGGACCCCGGTAGGCCCAAAGAACTCCATACACATGACTGATGCCAAAGTCTGACATAAGCACATCATCCTAGTAAGCTCCGGGGAGCCTCCGGGTCTTGCCCAGAAAATGGCGTTTCATCACATTCAACACTGGTTTTTTGTAATTTGGTTATATTTTAATGTTTTTTGAATGTTTCATCACTGTTTTGAAATTAAATTGGTTGAGGCAATGAGTCACAATAATGTGGCTAAAGTATGTTGACCAGAACTCACACTAGAAGGTGAAGGGACGACGACCTCCTTCACAATCTACTCGAGAATGGTCCAGGACAGACCGAAACGTCGTCGTCCCTTCACCTTCTAGCGTGTGGTCTGGTCAAGATAAATTGGTTGAGTTTGGAAACATTGACATTAACTTTACCTGAACATTTATAAAAACAAAAATGTCTCCTTAACAATGGCACTATTGAGTTTTAGCCGAAACCAGTGGCATAGTGCGGTGGTTAATGTTTTACTCTTAAAATCTCAATTTTTCCTTGATCAAGGCAGGTTAATTTATAATAAACGATACGAGAGCTTACAAACATTGCAAGTTTGTTCTCGATCTAAAGGTGTAATTATAGACAATCTCGTAGGACTTTGGGAGCTCGAACTGTCTATAAACAATTTATGAACTCAAGCACTAAGCTTGTCTAACAACCTAAAGTTGAGAACTACCACTGTTCTCAACCCAAGGATGACTGATCAAACTTGTACACAGTTTCTATGTTCTGGGAGGAAGCAAGGCATTAGGGACTATTAATAGTTCAGCTATGTCATTTGCTTACTTTGTATTACCCAAGGGTAAAAATTATTTTATTGCCCGCTATTATTCCCATCACCACTCAAGTGTAGACCATGTTAATACGCTTAAAAATACAGACATTCACACTTAATATATTATATTGCATCAGACGTAAAAGCATGAATTCCACAGCAGTATGATTCAGACCAGAAATGAATTGTGCAAGTTCACAAACCTGTAAAATAACATCAAAGAGAAACTAGAGAGAGATGGGTAGCATTAGCACTAGATAATTGCTTTAAATGTATACTGTATAGGCATCCTGATGAGAAGACTTTACCACCTCCTGTGGTGCATCATATACAAAATGTCTTAATCATCATTGTGCTCTCATGTTGACATCCCCAGACAAGAAAGCCTCGACACAAGACGGTAACAGGACAAGAATTCATCAAACATTTATGTCATAAGGAAGGCAGCTTTGTTAATATCAAACAATGGGCTGTTAAAAAGGGGTTACTTTTCAGAGCTCCTGCTGCCAAATCAGCAGCTTTTCTGCACATGTACAGTGACAGTTACATTGTGAGAACAATCCTGTATAGAAAGATATAAACAAGTACATGTTAGGAAAAAAAAATAATATCCACATATTTCAAAATCCAAAAACTCCAAATTTTTTTCCTGCGACTGGAAAACAGGTTGTAAATCAATGTTAAATCTGGAATACCAGTTTTAAACAAATTAAGAAATGAAAAGAAGCAAGATTTGAATCACAAACGCTGGAATGCTTAAGGAAAGGACAGTAAACACGGGCGGATAATCTCTTTTCTCAAGGTGATGGAACCAGTCGGGTGGTCGGCACACGTCTAAACTATTGTGCATTGACAACGTTCTTGTTATTGTGCTACTACTTTATACTCTAGTTAGAGACAGCCTTGATTGATTACATGTCCCAGTGGCAATTGTGTGTCATCCTCCACCTTTGGTGTAGACTGTGATAAACTTGTGCTTATATCATTCTCGACAATCATTCTCATTGGTTTGTTAAATGTTTGTCCATACAGTACAAGTTCCAGTCCCCAGGTAACTGGGCAATAGGGTCAAAATAACAACTCTTAAAAAGTGTACCAGATTACAGTGTTAGAATTTGGAGCTTCACATCATACTGTACTTGTATACTGCTCAAGTCCAAGTTTTGTGGGACTAGTTGTCTTTTGTAAAGTTCTCACTCAATGGTGTTTACAGCCACACTTTAGTTGGATTTGGTGCCTCAAGCTTAACCTTCGCGCTGCTCACCTGTTTATACCCAACAACACAGGTGCTCAAGGAAAACAAATCCAATGTCATTTTCTTGTTAAAATATATGTTCCGATAATTTTTTCACTATTATCATTAAATAATTGATAATTACTTCGTTATTAACCCTTGGGCCGCTAAGGGTCATAATTGCTTCAACACCCACAGGCACATAATCGTAGGTGACATATTTTGGGCGCAATAGAGCAGGGAAGTGTGGGGGGGGGAAAAAAAAAAAAAAAAAAAAAAGTCTGCTCTGCCCGAGCTGTCAGGCAGCAGTTGCCACAAAGTTATTATTATGTAACTATTTCAATGATTTTTTCTTTGTTTTTTGCAGTAATATTATTCAATAGTGTGTATTGTGATATATTTATATAATAAAATGTGTGAACCATTGCTGTACTCAAAATTATTGTGTTCATTTTAGTGATTCACTTATTATGTTCATAAAACAAAATAGTTTTGCTGTTATTACACTACATACACAGGTTATATATATGTATCTGTATGTTTAGTTCGCCATAAACAACCACTAAGTTGGTATTGTGAGTCAAAAGGCAACGAAGAGTGGGCCACCATTCACCAGCCAGTCAGCCAGTCAGCCACCACCACTCCCTCACCTCCTCCCTCACCTCCTCACTCGCCAACATACTCCTCCCACCTTACCGTTTTTGCTTTTATTCATTATACACAGACGTTAAATATAAGTATCTGCATGTTTTGTTCACCATAACTTTACATCTAAGCTTGTATGGTGAGTAAAGACACGAAGACGTAGCTACTCTTACAGTCAGCTGGTGGCGGCCGCCCTCAAGGCCAGACGCACTAATATTTCTCCTCCAACAATACTGTTTGTGGTGTTATTACACTATATACACACATTATATATAAGTATCAACATGTTTTATTCACCATACTTGTACAAGTAAACTGGTATGATGCCCAAAGACCATAGTGGTCACCAGTAAGCAAAAGTCGTGCAGACGACGCACCTCCCTCACCAAAATGGCGGCTCCCAACAAACTCCTATTGCTGTTATTACACTCTATACACACATTATATATAAGTATCTACATTTGTGTTCACCACAGTGAACCACTAAGCTGGTATGGTAAGTCAAGTCAATAAAAGGTGGCCACACACAGTCAGAAGACGACACCACCACCCTCTCTGCCTCAGCATTACTCCTCCCTCCATGGAGCACAGTACTAAATATCACCACAATCCTGCTATTATCAGAATCCTGGTCAGTTTTATCAGTCAGGGAGCTTCTGTAATACTATCATCACTAAATAATAGCATGAACACACTGACATTTTTAGGCAATGCTGTGGTCACAAGCTGAACAGCAGTGCTGTGTGCTCATGCTACGTGCATCAGCCTTGGTGGCTCGCTTAGCACCAAGGTGCTCTCACCCAGGAATGTTGGCCACGATTTTTTTTCTATGTTATGATCTCAGCCTGCAGGAGAAACGATTGAGAGTTTTCAGCAAGCCTGACCTAACTGGAAGGTCTAGCAAATATTGAGGTAATATTCCATATGTAAAATAGTTGCTTGAAGATGTATAACAATTTAAGATTATGGGCAGTAAGTAAGGAAATAGATAAATGGCTGGCTAGGAGATGTGGACATTTTGCTGGAGGCGTGAGGCTCGCTTCCGGAGGACCTTGACCTCACTTGAGTGCCAGACATCGCAGGGGGAAGCCGCGCTCCGTTTGAGCTCCCGCCAGAAGGGAACCCCTAGTGATATATCTCTAAGAGAAGAGAAGTGTGCAGACGTGCCAGCTGTGGAATCGAGCTGGGGACATGTGGTCTCAAGTCGTGGACGATAATTAGTGAATATTAAGCCGCCCGGAGGCATTATTGTGGGCCGTGGGAGCGCCCTGACCAGACGCCGTCAGAGGGAAAGCGCCCTCGACCAATTAATCTGTGGTAAGCACGATAAACGCCAGTTCATAGTGATCACTTGTAGTTGGTCGTGTGCCCAGCGACAGTAGCATGTTTATTTATAAGTTAGACATGTTTTAATAAGGCAGAAAGCCTGAAATAAGAGAGTGGAGAGGGAGGAACACGGAGCGACGTCCGCCCCCTCTGAGCGCTGGCGGACGACTGAGGGAGCCTGGCTCCGGATGTAGGAAGACCCTCCCAGCGAGTGAGGACCGCCGCCAGGCGAGGTGGAGTATGGACCCGCCCAAAACGGGGGAGTCCACTCTCACTGTATGTAGAGGACAGATAGAGGTTTGAGGCAAGCATATTGTGTGGTTATTTTTGTTTATGTGTTAAAGGGGAACATTTTATTGGAGTGTCGATGGGTTGCAGGTTGTCTTTGGGGAAGAAGTTGCTGAGAACTTCGAAGCCAGCAGATGATGTAGCTGATGAGACTCCAAGGTAGTGGAGCAGAGGACCTCGAGCTGTGAGGAGAAGCAGCAGTGAAGAGGAGTGTCACGTGCTTCTGTAGAGGTGGTGTAGCAGCCAAGAGAGCTGTGGAAGAACCTAACAGAAGGGTGAAGCACCGGTGGCGTCTGCCAACTATTGGTCGTGGCTGCACTATAGCTGCCCCTATCCCACGCGGGGCGTTTAAATGAGCGCGCTAGACACTAAAACGGCTATTAATATATTGCGCGGTATTGGTAATGTTACTCAAATCATCTATGTATGTATTGCTCGGTCTAAGGGTTTAGGCGTGGGCACGAGCTGCACGCTGGATGGAGTGGGCACGCAACAACGCAACATTCGTGGGCCACATTGTCCGGTGTAAGAGCCACAGAACCGTGAGCAACCAAGGCTGGCGCACGCAGCATAAGCTGCGTATAAGCATAAGCAGCATAAGCATTGCTGTTCAGCTGGTGACCACAGCATTGCCTAAAATTGTCAAAATAAATATGTAACTGCTATTATTTAGCAATGACAATTACAGAAGACCCCGACTGATAAAAATGAAAAAAATGAAAAAAAAAAAAAATGACCAGGATTGTAATAATAGCAGGATTGTTGTGATAATTAGTGCTGTGTGAGAGGAGTAATGCCGATAGATAGCCTCGTTTACCGACTGTGTGGCCAACTGTTATTGTCTGCACTCGCCATACCATTCGGTGGGTCTCTATGGTGAACACAATGTAGATACTTATTACACTAATACACATTATATATAACGGCAAAAGGATTATGTTGAGAGGAGCCATTTGGGTGGCAGAGATAGCGTCGTCTGCATGACTTGTCTAGCTGTGTAGAGGGTGGCCATTATGATTCCTACAAGCTTAGGTGTACAGTTACGGTGCATACAACATGTAGATACTTATATATAATGTTTGTATATAGTGTAATACCACCACAGTGTAATAACACCACAAACAGTATTGTTGGGGAAGTAATTTTACTGCATCTAGCCTTTACTTAGTGAGGGAGGAAGGGAGGCAGCCGCCAGCTGAATGTGTAGCAACATCTCTCAGTGCCTGAACTATATCACCTTCGTTGAACAGTTGTGGTGAACAAAACATGTAGATACTTGTATATGACTTGTGTATAGTGTAATAACAGCAAAACTATGTTTTTTTTTTTTTTTTTTTCCCCCCACTACGGGCTCACCATAGCCCGTGCTACCTGGAACTATTTGTTCTGGGTAGCGAATCTTAAACAACAACAACATGTTGTTTTATGAACATAATTAAATCACTAATATGCATACCATACTTTTGAGTAGTGATGATTCACCCTTTTTATTATATAAATCTATCACACTACACACTTGAATAATACAGCGAGGCCTCGATTTACGATGGTAATCCGTTCCCAGAGACGTATCTTAAGTCGAAGCGATTTTTCCCATAAGAAATGAAGGGAATTTAATTAATCCGTTCCCCACACTCCAAAATATTAACTAACAAATACATTTTATACTGAATACAATTTTTTCTCTAACTACAATACAGTACATGTGTATCTTACCTTTATGGAGGACTTTTGGTGGCGTATGGAAGGTGGTGATGAGGAGGGAGGAGGAGAGGTGCTACTGTTTGGAAGGGGAGTCCCCTTCCATTATAACATCAGGCAGTGAAGACTTTTCTGGGATACACACTCTGGCATGTTTTGCCTGCATACCACTAAGACTTGCTTGTCTTACTAAGAATCTTTCTAAAGGCACTTTTTTTTCCCTACATTTTGACACTTGTCTGTAGTAAGACATCACATTGTCATTTAAAAGGTCAATGCAACGGCCTGCTACAGCTTTATCTGGGCAAGTTTTTTCAACAAAACTTTGCAGTTCTTCCCACACTTCACACATTTTCTTGAGGAAGGGACATCCTCTACTGCCTCAACTCAACTATTTTCTTAGTTTGAACCTTATCACTGACTTTCTTGGGACCCATGGCATGATATATAATAACCAGTTATGTTCAAAAAGCAAAAAATCACAACATAAACAAAATTTCTTATAGGGGTGATCGTCACTAAGCGGGCAGCTCTAGTAAACTGAGATAGGTCGACCCATGTGACCGGGAACCACGTTCTCGGTCGACCCAAACGTGTACCAACAAATATCGTTAGTCAACGACACTATCGTAAGTAGAGTTGCTTTTTTCTATCAAATTTACATCGTAACTCAAAATTATCGTAAGTTGAGGTGCCACTGTATTACTGCAAAAAACTAAGAAAAAATCAGACACATTGAAATAATTAGGCAATATCTTTGTAGCAACTCCCGCTTGACAGCTCGGGTGACGCAGACTGCCTCTGACAACTGCTCTGTCATCACCCACATTTTGCCAGACTTCCTCAGCTTATTATGACCAAAATATGTCACCTAAGATTTTTTTTTTTTTTCCCCATGCTCAGGGAACACTAACATATTTGGAAGACTAACAAAATTTATAATTTTTTGTTTTCTTGTACACAGGGGGTGTAAATCTCCTCAGGACCCCTTAGCAGCTTAAGGGCTAATGAGGCAGTGTACTACTGTGTTTGTGTATTGGGTAATTTAATGCCTGCAGGAAAAACAAGAATTTCGTAGAAACAGTTTAATGTGGCCATTTTAATTCCCAGTTTCTGCCAATTAAAATAAGTTTATTATAAATGAACCTCCCCCACCCCCTTATTTTCCTCAATCATAAATCCTGGATGCATCCTTAGTTTATACCTAGTTCCTCAAAGCCAGAGAACACCCAGCTCCTCGAAGAGACGGAGTGGTTGTGGATAGTAGACCGTCACCAGAGGACCACATAACTGTGTAAGGAGCATGTGCTATGCTTTCAAACTTCATAGTTTTTACATGTGGGTGGTGAAATTAATAATACTATTCACGACTTTTGCAAGACCAAAATTTGAATGTGCAGAAGTTGCATGGTGCCCTTATCTCGTGAAGCACACTAACAGGAAAAGTGCGAAGGCATTTAAAAAATTGGCTTCCAGAACCGAGAATCAAAATGCACAAGTAGGGGTTAGAGGTTATACATATACCACAGCTAGAAGAGGTTGTACATTCAAACTATGGAAACAAAGATGCCGAAAAACACATTAGAAAGTTCACTTTTGAAGAGTAGTAGACAGTTGGTACGCATGAAAAGGTGACAAAACCGTCTGTTTCAAAGCATACTGCTAAGACAGGACACCACGAGCACAGCTCATTCTGTAACTACACTTTGGTAATTACAACCAGCTCCCAAAAGCCATTTTCATCTCTCCCTCGAAGACAAACTTACCAATTGTACATGTATCCATTTTCTTTAACTTGGTGACACGAAAAGGCCGACACCACATCGGGTTTCTTTAGCCACTGAGACAGCTTCACCACTTCCAACCGCTCTGTTTCTCGGTTATCTGTTGGGGAAAATTGCAGGCAAATTAATGATCTACATTGCATTTTCACATTGGCATTATTTCTGGCCCTTATATTAACCATTCACAAGAGCTTTATTTGTGATTTTTGTAAAACTATGACTGACATTTAAGAGATGCATTGTAGGCTGCTGTAACAGGTACAAGTAGTAAAAGGAATTCATAGTTATGAGCACGCACACTATAGCAAGTCACAATGACTTGCTATAGTTCTTATAGTTCGTAATCTTCGCTTGGCTTGTATTTCAAGGATCAGATTTACGAGGCCGTTACACAAGTACTGTACTTACGAACCTGAACATCTTTCCCCAATCTTTGACGGTTTTGGTTACCTGTATTAAACAGTTTACAAGCTTGAAAACTACCCAATCAACTCTTGTTATTGTTATAAACAGCCCCATTGTGTTTCGGAGCTCATTACCAGTTTAATAATTGTAAACAAAGCTGCCAAAGGTTGAGAAAACACGTACAGGTTCGTGAGTGCTTGCGTAACTGCTTCGTGAATCTGGCCCCAGGTGGTTATAATTATCAAAAGGCGGCACCAACCTGGCAAATCCCTGTAGGAGAACCTGTGTCGGATATTCAAAAGTCTAAATGGTTATAGTGTTTGTATTATTTGCCGACTTTAGTGGTTGTGGTGTTTGTAGTGCTAACTTGTCACTCACTTTGCAGAAGATAACATCACATCCTGCCTAGCTCTCTCTACTGTGGGTGTTATTCACATCTCTTGCTATTCAAGTTCAGTCATTCAATGAGGACAGCACTTCTGTCCTTGTGGACAGAAGAGCGTACACTCCACAAGGTCTCCTGTCTTTGTGGACAGGAGAGACTATGATTACCTCTTCAGTCCAGACCACTTACTAATAACTCGTACATGGCTACAGTCTTGACAAACCACACATCAGAAAATGGAGAATGACAACGTTTGGGTCCATGCTGGACAACTTTCAAGTTGCTCAGACTGGAAAGTTGAGCAAATTTCTCCTCTTAATTAAATGATTATTATGTCCAATCCTTAATCATGGTATTAGTGTGATATAACACTAGTGATGACAGCGCAGGTACGAAATTATTTTTCCCATCTAGTTGTCCTTATGCTAATGCATATAAGATGTACTTGAAAAATAGACAATATGTCAAGTACAAATGTATGTCATTGTTCAGTCATTGACAAAATATGTTGAAGAAACATCTTGTCAGCTTGGCAGGCCCAGGGCAAGTACCACGCATGAGGAACCATCCACCTGCCCGTGTTCTGGGAAGTCATGTTGTCTACACCACTACATTGGAAAGGAAGTCGGGTCTCCACGGGAAGAACATGTGTTTAAACTCTTCAGTCACAATAACATGGCTGAATATATGATGACCAAAACCCTACCAGAAGATGAAGAAATGTTGTTTCTTCATCTTCTGGTGTGTGGTTTGGTCATCACAGTGCGTGTCAATAAGAATCAAACTAGAGTGACTACATAGTGCATGGTGTTGTATTGTGCATTACTGTCTTTCACACACATGAATCAAACTATAGTGACTACATAGTGCATGGTGTTGTATTGTACATTACTGTCTTTCACACACATGAATCAAACTAGCAACTACACGGTGGTGTATCGTGCATTACTGACTCGCACACTATCATGCCACAACTTTTGGAAACACCAAATCAGTGACCAGTATGTACATGGATTCTGACTAGTAATACTACTTCCCTGTAACAGGTTTCCTCTGCTTAACAATATAGTACCAGTAGGCAAACAATACAGTACTGTATTATACAACATTTTAACAGTACCAGTAGGCAAACAATACAGTACTGTATTATACATCATTTTAACAGACTCAAGCCAAAAATTTGTGAAGGTCCAATCGGTAATAATGAAGCAAGCACACACAGGTTCATCGATAAGAGAATACACACGTTCACCATCGTCATCCTCGATGCTGAAGACGTCACCCTGGTTACGGTAGAGCTTCCCCCGATCATGGGCATTCACATGACGGTCAATGGTCAAACCCTCGCCATTAGGGTTGGTGATGTACTCCACTAACTTCTCCTTCATTTCCACAGACTGAAAAATACAAGCTTTGTCAAATATTTAAGAATTTCAAAGAAGCCATTACTCAAGTGACACACTTGTTTAAACATGAGCTTTCACTTGTGTGCTGGCATATGAAGTCATTCAACATCAAATTAGTTGCCTTAAAGCCTACGTTTCTCTTACTGCCAACGTTTATGGTATCCTCAATGAAACTGAGGTGGCTAATCCAATATTTATCACACTATTGTATATTAGCGAGACAAACAAGCACCCACGAGAAGGCAGGGCGGTTAGCCATGGCCACCACTGGTCCACCTCCCCCCCCCGAGTAGTCCACACCACCTCCTCCCCCCCGAGTAGTCCACCCCCCCCCCCCCCCCCCGAGTGCCCCACACCACATTGGGGGAAGGGGAGGGGGGAAAGGGGGGAAGAAGGGATGGGGAGAAGGGGAGGAGGGAAGGGAGCCTTCTGCCCTGTCATTCTTGCACCAGCAAGAATGACAGGGTGGAAGGCTCCTACCATCAGAGGTAATCTTCACAACCCGAAGGGGGCTGACGGCGACGACCACGAGGGGGACGAGTAAACATGTCTACCTGGAGGATAGAATGGCCCTGGGCTTCGAGAATATGCCAAATATCTTCGTGGCAGGTCTGTAGATTCCTAACACTGGCCGCAACATGGGGTGGAAAGAGAACAGTGCCAACACTGGCATTCAACCGAGCATTCTTGGAGACCCAAACAGGGGTCTCGCTTAGGCAGGATAAGGCGGCCAAGCGGGTGGCTGCATCCTGAGGAGCAGCAGCAACGACATGTGTACCGAGACGGGTGGGGTTGAAAGTAACAGAGGCATCTACGGAATCAACAAGGTGCCTCTGGAGGGAGAAATCGTCAGGAGGCGAAGAATCCAGAGGGATGAGATCAAAGTATTTGGCCCATGAAGCAGGACCAAACAAGGTGTGGTACGCATCTGTATGGGAAGGGATTGTGCGAGTGCAGCCATGGCGTGGACAGCGTTGAGAACCCCCAGAGAGAGTGGTTAAAAGACGCAGTAGTCACAATGAGAGACTGAGCCATGCCAGGGGACGAGGTGGTCACCACCGAGAGCTTGTATCTCGACCCAACCACAGAGGAGGAAGGGGAGCCAAGGGGAGTAATCAGGAGGGGTCAGAGGAGCAGCAAGGTCAGGGCCCAATGCAGTGGGGGCTACAGAGCCCGGTCTTCCAACACAGTCTGACTCAGGGGCTTGGTCGCCCACCCCACGAGCCTGAGAAGGTACAAGAGGAACAGATCGACAGAGACGAGAGGAAAGACGTTCATTCACGAATGTGCCCCCCCCCCTTCCCCATTCACCATGGAGCCACAATTAGAGGCAGGACACCCAACAAGAGACATGTTGCCAATCTTGCCAGGGTCCCCTTGGGGGTCTTGAGTATACGCCCCACAAACACCACCTTAAGAACCATCAGTCCATCGAGATCGGGTTCAGTGACGAAAGGAGGATTGACAATAAAAGGGTCCCCTTGCTCGAGATGTTGGGTACTACAGTTCTACGGGTGCAAGAGTATGCCTCCTCAAACACCCGGGCATCAAAACAAAAGAAGGCCAAAAGAATGATCAAAACAGGCACAATGTCAGCGGGAAATGACAAATAGAAAGAAGAGGGGGAGAAAAACGAAACAAAAGGAAAAGGAAAAGTTGTCCAGTAAAATTAGCGAGGACAGCAGCAGGATTATAAGGCCACAAAAGGACAGAGGACTGTCCCATGGACCATCACACACTGGCAGCCGCCCACCAAGCCCCCCTCACAGCAACAATGAGCCAGACAGGGAGGGGGAGTTGGGAAGCAAGATATGCGCATGTCCAGAAAATTGGGACATTCAACAAGGATACGCAAGACCAATCAAGGACAATACAGTTCGGACAATAAGGAGCAAGGCGGCCTTCCATTAAGTGCCCACAAGTTAAATGTGTCCCACTATGAAATGACTCCATTTGGTTATCAAAATTATTAGTGCGCTCCAACATTTCCTTGATAACTTTCTCCAATTATAAGGAATGCAAATTAGTAGCACTTGTCTAAGTAATTATCAAATGGCACCAAGCTATAAGATGCAAATACACTCGAGATATTGTAAACATCCTAAATATTACTAAGGATACAAATACAAGAGCAAAAAGATCTGGCAGGTGATAAAGGATCTGACTAATCAAGAATGCTATTTAGGGTCAAATGACTGGAACAACAGTGAGACTTCCTGAAAATTGGAACTAGCAATATTTAATCAGTGCTGAACCAGAGTACCACTTCCTGCCATACTTTTCTGTAATATGCAAGCATATACCACTTCTTTCTTTTAGAAGCTACAGGGAAAATTTATTGCATTATATGTCTCCCTTGGCCTCTTATTTAGCAAAGAGATGTACATAGCACTTTGCCACCGTGGTGGAAAATGTGCCAATGTGAAAATGTGAAGACAGTGGTTGGTTATCACCAGTGGTCATGTCCACCAGACTAGTGCCCAAACCAAGGGGCATGAGCTATGAGGAGAGATGGGGAGGGGGGGGGGGTCAAAAGTGCTTTGCACATCTTGTTCCATTAACTTTTAACATATAATTTGTGGCCATTTTCTTCTTGACAGCAGTTCTTTGCTATTATGCCCTCTACTGCATGCTTCCTACGTGGTCATCACTACCGAGTCAACTTCAACACTTGAGCCTGCAGTTAACATTTCTATGCACACAAATGCTTGTAACACTTTCTAATGCTCCGGCACTTTGTACAATGTACTTCAAGAGCATTATATTGTTTATGGCACTGGTAAAGGATCAACATCCCTGGAATACTTCTCAATTCCAAGAATTCATTATGCAAAATGTCCTCTACTTGTGCAATATTTACAGGGTTCCACAATTCACCAATACTGTAACATGCATACACCCGGCCAATCCTTCACTAGTTAAGAATCAATTGTATAAACTATATCCTCAGAACTTTTAATATATCCACTTCTGTCTAACATTACTAAATGCCATCCATAGATGGTTGCAACCCGTTCTCGCACTTGCTTATAGTCAATATTGGCTTATTTAATAAGTGCATGTGGGACATGCTAATTGATTGTGAATATTTTAGTTTACCTTGAAAAGCTTCATAGAAAACACCGACCTCACCTAACCTTCTTAATATGTTAAGATAAGCATCTTATTGCTTCTTAATTACAATTATTACTTAACCTATACTGTTGATAGGTCAAGTAATAATTGTAAATAAGAAGCAATAAGATGCTTATCTTAACATACCAAGAAGGTTAGGCGAGGTCGGTGTTTTCTATGAAGCTTTTCAAGGTAAACTAAAATATTCACAATCAATTAGCATGTCACATATGCACTTATTAAATAAGCCAATATTGACAGAGCAAGTGCGTGAATGGGTTGCACGATTATAGTTTCCATAAAATTGTCCCAGTAGTCGATAAATGATTTTGCATTAAATCTGTGATATTTGTTTAGTGAGCATTTGATGCCAATTTTCAAAGACAGCCATTCATTGCCAACTCTTCTAGGTAAACTGCAACACTACTTTGATCCCTCCTCTATCTTAATCCTGAAGGTATAGGAGCATTGCACAAGTGGTTTTGGCAATGTGGAAGATCACGATCTTGACAAATTGCATAATTGGCAGCAATTAACACTATCGGTAACTTTGGACCGGACTCGCGTCCATTATTTTTCTCCAGAGTCCTAACTTTGGACCGGACTTGCATCCACTACAAAAAATATTTGTATAAAATTAATTTTTTATCCAATTGACCTCGGGATAGTATCAAAATAATCGCCTTTAGAATGCGCACAATTTGATACCAAAATGAAAGATGTAACATGAAACTTGATGTCCGAACACTTATATGATTATAAATAGGCTTTTGGTCAAAATATTAAAATATTTGTTAAAATTATATTTATTATGCTATTATGTTGGGACTAGTTTTAAAATGCGCGCCTTTACGTCGTGAACAATTTGATACCAAAATGAAAGATGTAACCAAAATTTATGTCAGAACACTGGAAAGACAAATAATTTTATGATGAGCTTCCAGAATTAAAATGTTAAAATTCCAGTTATTGCTCTATTATTATGGGACTAGTTTTAAAATATGCACTTTTTATTGCGAACAATTTGATACCAAAATGAAAGACGTAACACGAAAATTGATGTTATCAAACTGAACGAGTATACACATTAGGTTGCAGTGTACAAATTGGTGCTCGTTCACGGGTAACTTTAGGCTTTTCTGCGGGGAGGCACTCCAAACTTTTGTACATTATATCCACACACATCTGTAGGGAATTTAATTGCGAACACAATGATACCAAAACAAGCAACATAGCACGAGAATTAAGGTGAGAAAAATGGAACGAGTATGGACATTTTACTGATTTTGTGCGCTCACGGGTAACTTTTGCCGACTTTAGGCTTTGCTGTTGGGAGTCACGCCAGGCTTTTGGACATTATATTTATACACACCTGTAGGGAATTTAATTGCAAGCACAATGATACCAAAACGAGCGACGTAGCACGAGAATTAAGGTGAGAAAGCTGAAACGAGTATACACATTTAGGTGTCACTGCACGCTCACCCGCACATCGGGTGCATGACCCCTAAGTTTACCGCGCGCCTGTCCAGTGACCGATAGTGTTAATAATACTATAAACAAATCATGGGTAACATTCCCGGGTGCAAGAGCCTCAGTACTGAGTGAGCAACTAAGGCTGGTGCACACATGAGCTAACAGCACTGCTTTTCAGCTTGTGACCACAGCATCTCCTAAAAATGTCAAAATATACATTTAACTGCTATTATTTAAGTGACGATAGTATTATAGAGGAGCCCGACTGTGATAGACTGTACGTACAATATTCTTATATCGGTAAACACTCATCATGCAACTACGATAATTATTCATTTCTATTCCATTCTAAAATCATCGGCTTTGTCTCAAATGTGCAATATCAAACTTTCCAGCCTTCA